AAATAATGTGAAATGACATCGCAGCTGCTGACAACGTGAACACCGTCTGGATATGTTTACTGTCTACCGTCGAATTCGCGTCAAAAGGATGCTTTTAGGTAGTTCAAACACGCTGTAGCACATTTGCAAGCAGTTTAAAAGCATGTGACGTGATATCGCGACGAACGTCTGGATGGGTTTGCGTCGTCGCTCCGAATGCGTTTGCCGTCGTCGACACATCAACCTGAATTGTCTAGGTGGTTTGAACACGCCACATACATCTTAAAGTATTTAGACAAACATTAGACATGACATCGCAGCTGCTGACTACGTGAACAACGTCTGAATACATTTGCCAGTAAATTCTCTTGATATATTATTATTTTGTACAAATGTAAGCGCACAAGGCAACAAAACTCTGACACCGAGGATAGATGATTGAAATTATGTGTGGCATTTTTAATATTGTTAAAGGTAAGATCAATCACGAGCGTAATATATCTAACTCACCGCTCATCGTTCTTTGATTACGAGGACACGTGTGAGTCTGCACAGGCTAGTGGGGGCTTGTAGCAATCTGGAATATACTTGAGCTGAAATGAATTAAATGCGTACTTGGTCTTACCAGTATTTGCGAGCACATTAACGCGACGGACACCACGTTCCCTCATTGCATTGCAGAGATGCACTCCCTGTTTAACGTGAAAATGCTCCACGAGTAAACGCGAGGTCTCTAAAGTTACCGACATCGCCGTGCGGTCCTTACCACTCTTACAACAAGTCGTGCGTCCAGCACCTAGTCGGCGACAAATATCGCTAGACGCGATTAAAATGTTCACAAACTTTTTCTGCACATTTTCTGTACGAATATTGAGGCGGTCAGTTAGCGCTTCAATTTCAGCTTGTACTTCCGCTAATTTAGCTAGATCTTCTTCACGTTTCTTCTTATCACCATCCGCACAAGCAGATATTTGGGTATAGTAAACTCTGAAGTATCGTTGTAGCATCTGCACGCTTTCAAAATTCAACTCGTCTTGAAGACTTGAATTCAGATAATGATTCGCTACAGACTGCATCTCGTTGATGCCTTGTGTAAACAAGACTCCGTGAAGTTTAATGGCATGTCCCTGCTGCAGTACGTCTGGAAGTTTTGAAAAGATGGAAGGTGGTACAGCAAAAGCAACCACAACATGATCTCCTGTTGGTGTACTTGTAACACCAACACACTTTGAAAATTTCATGTAGGGGTGTGCTTCTGCAGATTGCACGAGCTGGAAACTCACGACACTATTAAGCCACCGAACACCTTCCGACATGTCTTCAAGCATTCCCTTTTCAGCCCCAACTGTGCTTAACAAGGATTCAATGCTTAGCAAATAACCAGTCGAACAGGCAAGCTGCAGACGCTGGCGGTGCTGGCCACCACGAGTTGCGGCCAAGTCTACAGCATTTAGTAGCGAGGCGCCAGCGATAGCTAGCACCTGGGAACGCACAACATCTTCTCTCATCTCGATGCGCTCACGCAGACGTGGATCTGGTGGGCTTTGGGAAGACAATAGCTGCTGGAGACGACGCAGTCCGCCCTCTTTAAAGCCCATGGTATGTGCTGAAGCGCAGCCGTGAGTGACTAAAGAGTACACAAACTCAGATGTCTGCAACGTCCCACTATCGCTGTCGTCTGATCCAGATCCATCATCAAACGAGGCTGAAATCGAACTTCCCCTCAGAGCTTGCTCACTCCAATTGGCATCTCCACTGAGGTATACGCGTCTACCACGCACCAAATGGCAATTAAGATTCGTGGCCATAAATGATGTTGCTTTATCTTTCTTCATGTTGCTACGCTTTAGACACCCAGTAATGCCCTGTTCTCGTCCATCCTCAAGCGATGCAAACATTGTTTGATACCTTTTTAGATTCTCTTGATACGCAGCATGAAGACGCATGTAATGGGCCATTACAAGCTCCACCTCACGCATCCTCTCTTCAACCTGAGTGTTAGAAAGGCTAGGAGCCGCGCTTGCTTGAATGTGTTGCCTCATATCACTAATAAATTGCTTTGCCTCGTGAATGCGGGAGACATTGCGCCGCTGAAGGTATTTTAAATAAGCAACGGTCATTGAGACGGATACATAAGACGCCGAAAGTTCCTCTGATACAAGCACATGACTAGCGGTCGACGGACTGATCTGCCTGCATATCATTTTATTGTAACTCAACCCATCTCGTAAACTTAACGTAGAACTTGTCATGAAATCGCTTGACTTGCATTTTTCCACTGCTTGTGTATCTACTAAGTAGTGGTGCTGTGCATACGTGTACGCGTGACTCACATTTAAACTGTGACTAGGAGGAAGGAATCGATCCAAAATAAGGTAGTAAATCTGTTTGGACGCATTTGTCCGGTAACACTCAAGCAGCATTGACGTTTCACGTGAGAAAAGGACATCAAGAGCAGATATTCGCACAAAGCCGAGCAATTTTTGATGCTCTAACGCCTCGGAGGAAGAATTCATGACTGCAAAGACTTCAAGCTGCAGCATCGAACGTGCTGTTCGCGGCACCGAAAGCAAGGCATTGAAGTCTCGAGCATAAAAATTACCACCACAAGATCGGAGGGATAGTGAGCTACGAGTCTCGGTTCGTGACATTTCCTCCGGTTGTTGCCCTTGGCGAACTTTCGACAAAACGACTAGCATGTGTGATACATCTTGGACGGACTCACTGCCAACCGATACAGCCACTTCAACACTTGGACTTCGTCTGAATCCTGGCAAACTTAGATTTGGTGCTCGTGGAGAGTTTGACGAAAGTTGCCATATATGTAAACCACTTGCAGATTGATGAGAATGTATTGTCGATAATTCATTGTCATCATATGCACGAGGTACAGCGAGATAAGACGTAGACTGAGTTAAAATAGAGCCAGCGCTTGATGACCGAACGAGTGGAAGGGTCGCCTTTGCCATATTTGAGCGTGAAAATGCGCTGCTAGGTTGCTGCTTACATAGCTGCTTGTGCTCGTTCTGATTTTTTTCATTTTCTCGGATAGATCGTGAATTTTTAGCAGCTTGTTGAATCACGGTTGAATCAGTCGAAAACCGCTTCATAGTGTTGATGCCGCTGGCGATGTGCTGACTTTCCATACGCGATAAAGTTGCGCAATCTATACTGACATGATCAAATAACGGTGTGCTCTCTGAAAGACGTGTCTGAACCTGCGTATGGAAGGAAGCGTCTTCCGACCGGCGGGAGAGTGATCCATTAATCGTTGTGCGAGACGTCGACCTCACACGTTGCAAAATACATCCGTTGATGCAAGCAATCCAAGTCTCCATACTCTCTTCTCCTTGCTCTGCAAATAGCGTAAGCTTGCGTCCTTCATTTTCGATAGTGAATCTGGATGGAAATCCCTCCTTTGGTGTGGGCTGCACTTTTGTATTCTTGTCAATGGGGATCTCTCCAAGCTTGGCAAGCTCCTCAGCTGACGTATAGTAACAAAGCACGGGACGGTCTCGTCTTAAGATGAAAAATCGACGCCTCCATGACTTCCAAAACGAGCCTTGTTTAACCAAATAGCCGCTGGTAATGATATCCGCATCTGAAAATTGCTCCACATCATTGCCGCTCATGTGTACGGTTCGATTTTTTTGATACGCACGCTTTCGCAGCCTAGCCATGGCTTTGCTACCATCATGCGCATGGTAATATTGGTCCTCAAAGCGCCCACTCTCCGACACTTTGAGCTTAGGCTTCATACGCTGTGTCAGGTCCGAGAGGCGTGATCGGTCAGTCAAGTGAACAAGACCGTCATCTTCTAGTACTGCAGAAATCGTAGGAGCTGCCTCCTTAACAGTTTCTTTGAATACACGCTTCACTTTCTTGTCACACTTGCTACCGATGACATTCAATTCGGATTTGAAAACCATCGGCGATTGCTTGACTGTCTGTCGTGGTGGTTCCGTTACGTTAGCAGAAGGCGCTTGATTCTCCTGCATTTGATGTGAAGTCTCTTTAGTGGTCAGCACTTTTTTCTTATGCTGTGCGATAGCATCGACCAGTGTGAGCGCCTGAGACGACGCACTCTTGCTTGGCAGTGATGGTTTTTTAAGGGCAGAGTTCATGGTCATTGTGCGGTAAAAATTGCCTGAGTATTTATATGGTCGATCGTAAAATTCAATTTTTCTAAGGTAGTAGTATTATTACACGAACGTGTACCCAAAAACCAAGATGTTGATATCGAGAAATGACGTGGCTGTCTGTATGGAGCTAGTACGCCTCAGCGACGAAGGCATAAAATTGGCTAAGATTGGAAAATTGCGCGAGGCCGAAAAGATTTTTCGCGATGTACTGACACGAAAGCCTGCTGCAGGTTTTGACGACGTCTCCCTGGCACTGACACAACATGAATTGGGCGGAGTCCTGCGCCAGTTTGGTGATTTAGATGCGGTGTTGGAATTACTTACGAAGTCACTTGCGGTACGTGATCGCGCGGATGACAAAGCGTGTATCTCTATTGCGCTACGAGATAGCAACATCACGCGCGAAGAGATTGCCAAGGTATACGAGGCTAAGGGCGATTACATTAAAGCGCTACAGATGCGGCAGCCAGACAAACGCATTTGCGGTAACGAAGTTTGCGAGACAATTGACTATAGTGACGATGAACTGGTTGCCTGCAGCCGGTGTAAGTGTGTATTTTATTGCAGCAAGACGTGTCAGCGCCAGGACTGGAAAAGTCGTCACAAGTCGTTCTGCTAAAAAAGCGACAGCATGTTTTGATCGATTAAAAAGGCTTCGCGCAATTTTACATGTAGCTGGAGCAACCGCCATCGAGAATTTGTAGCGGATATGCTTGCTACTACTACCACACGTAATCCATACCTGTGACCATTTCAGCTTTGAGCTAATCCTGTATAATGTTTCACTTAGAAAATATTAATCAACATTCATCGTCCACAGTAGTATGCTTGCCATCCTGATCAGCGCAATCCTCCTCTGTCTCTTCATCCTCATTCTCTTTCTCGACTTCACTAGCCTCTGTTTCGTTAAGTGGAGCGTCATCGCCCTTTTGCTGCAGAATAGCGAGCTCTTCAGCACGCATTGGAGGTGCAATGAACCAGGGAAGCTTGCCGCGCTGATAATCGTTAATCATATGCACGGCGACGTTATTGTAGTCAGGCTCGCCCTTTTGCAAAAGCTTCCCGCTCTTATTGGCGAGTTTTTCCAGAAAATCCCATTCATCCTTCCACTCGTCAATGCCGTAAACCTTTACAATGAATTCTTTCTTCACCCGTTGCAAAATAGTTAAGATAAAGTCAGTCGGTTGAGGAAGACGCTCAGCACGAACGACCCCTTTAAGCACAGTCTCAATCTCGTCGTCACCCGTGTCGTACACAATACCAGGGCAGTCAATAAGAAAAATGCGGCGCATGAGCGTGATGTACTGCCACACCTTAGTCTCACCTGGAATTGGAGCCACCTTGCATACCTTCTTTTTTCGCAAGGCGTTAATAACAGAGCTCTTTCCAACATTAGGATAACCAATGAGACCGACAGAGATCTGCTTTTTTTCCTGATGGAGTTTTGCGAACTGGCGTAAAAGATTAATCAGTGCGCCTTTGCCGAATGGTTTGCTCATGGATGCGTGAAAAGCTAGGGTAGGTGTTGTCTCACTGAGCTTCTGTACCCAGCGTTTAGTCACCCAATTAGGAACTAGGTCGCACTTGTTGATGACAAAGATCAGATGCTTGTGCGCGGCATTCTTGCGAATGTGCTTTTCTACATGTTCGCAGCGCGTGCCGGGTACGTTCCTAGCATCCAGCACCTGAATTACGACATCTGAGCAGTCCAACACCTTGTACAGTTCACCCCAAATACGCTTAGACTGTCCCTTGTTGAATACGTCGTGTGAAACTTCCTCCTTAAAATCCTGCTCCACGACAATGTTGCGATCTGGTCCCTTCGTCTCGTACTTATCAACATTCTCTTTGGCCTTAGAAAGAAGCGCCGCGTAGTCTGTGGCATCAATTTTAGCGCGCTTGCGGCTGCGCTTGCCATTGAAAACTTCTTGGTAGCTCTCAGTATCTAGTAGCTTCATACGCGTTGTCTTGTTGCTTTCCTGTAGTAGGCCCATTGGAAGTTTGCGGGTACGAAGCACAACTGAGTAGGGGTCAGCAGCTTTCAAAGACATTTCATTACGAAATTTGTCAAGCTCTTTTTGCCCCACGACCCGCGTGTTTCCGAACCAGCGTCGATCAGGTTGTACACGACCACTTGTGCTGGTGATTTCTTGGCCACCTGCCTTATTTTTCATCATGAGGCTGCCGCCAACGACCTTGCCAGCCTTGTTGCGAATAGGGCCGCTATTTCGGTACATATTTAGTCTCTTGATCGTGCTTTTATCGCGCATATTAGCTGCTTTCTGTCGCTTAGGAATTTTTCGGTTCGGGTTGTCGGCCGACGCCTTGGTCGTGTTAATTCCCTTCGTCATCTTAGTGTATAAATGCAAGTGACAACGATTGGAAGCGTCGACATGAAATTTTTAGCCAAGGAAATCTTAAAAAGTATAAGCCAATCAAATGTATCTCTAATACAATGCTTTTTCTGTAAAGAAAAGTAATTACCATATAAAGACATCTTTAAAATTTCAACGATCGTGACAAAGCACATTTCTTGAATAATCAGAGAAAAGTTCACCTGACAATATTTTCTACGTTGGACATAGCGAGCATGGCGTTCACCCTACAGCAGCAGCAGGAACGAGCCGAGTTGGCTTCATATTTGTATGAAAAGCATATAAATCATCAGGATGGCGTGGCAGGCACGTTAAGCATCCGGTTAGTAGCCGCTCGAAACTTGCGCGCCGCTGCTTCCATGTTCTGGGTGCGCAGTTGCAATCCATACATCATATTTCGCGTCGGCAAGCAGAGCGTGCGTAGCGCCACAATACCCAGTAACAATAATCCCACATGGCGTCGGGAGCTTCTTGAAGTGAAGCTGAGTAAATTGGACCTCAAGTATCATCCGCTGGGCGAACACTCAAACGTTCGAATGGAGCTCATCGTGGACGCCATGAATGAGGACTCGCTTACGGGTAGGGCCACAGAGGCGGTGGGTATGACGAGTGGATCAGTCATTGGCACAGCTGTCGTGGATTTTACGTCGCTCGTTGAGGGCAAGGAAGACGTCATGGACCAATGGGTTTCACTTAGCGGCGCGCTGCCCATGGCAGGTCCAACTGAAGGGGCAGCCAAGAAGCAGCAAAACGAAGCTGATTTAAATTTTGGTGAGGTTCGTGTCGTGTTGCAATACGAACCCCACGGTATGGAGCCATGTGTAGGTGACGTAGTCAAGTTTGAAGGATTTGGCTCTTATCCGTCAGCGGTCCTCGGTTCCGTCGAAGAATTAGAAATGCACGTCAAGAAGACGAGCGGTAGCTATTTGCTCTGTAGCTATACTTCCCAGTCTGGTTATGAAGCAGCGCTACGCGTACATCGCAACAACGTGTTTGTGGTACACCGCGGTAGCTTTTTCGACCGCTTGTACGAGTCATGCATTGTTGAGCCCTTGGAGTTTGTAAGCTGCACACCTATCGGTCAGTCGGTAAAGGAAGTGCTGCGTCCGTACATGAATGTGGCTCGTGCATTTAGTGGTCCGGCCCTTGTTGCAACGAAAGCTACACTTATGACGACCTATCGTGCATCCAGAGCAGCAATTGGTGCTGTGGTGGCTTCGTTGGACGAATGAGCATTGAAATCAGTAATTATTAAAGACATTCGAAAAGTTGTGTATGATTGGCTAAAACTGTTGAGGACAAATAAATCCTCAGATTTGAAAATTATCCTGAGGACGCATTGGCACCATGCCATCGGCTTCCGCTTCATCACATTATATCAAGCAGCTTGGTGAGATTAACCGTCATGACCTCATCTATTTTATCCTGCGTAAGTCTACATAACTCCAAATCGCCCATGGACAAAAAGAGCTACCGTCTTCTGACTTTACGAAATGGACTGGAAGTTCTGCTCATCCAAAGCGATGATGGATCAGTCTCTCAATCCACTCTCCGTCCCAAAACTGATCTCATTGATCACTTTAGTACTAGCATGTCAGAAGACATCGAACCTGTCAGTATGGAGGAAGAAAATATAGGAATGGACAAAAAAGCTTCAGCACAAGCAGCGGTATGCCTGACTGTTAGTGTGGGTAGTCTGTCTGATCCGAAAGAGTTACCGGGACTAGCGCACTTTTTAGAACACATGGTGTTTTTGGGCAGCGAAACTTATCCAGAAGAGGCCGCATTCGAAGCCTACCTTGATGCACACGGAGGTTCTTGCAATGGGGCTACAGAGTGTGAATCGACAAGATTTGAATTTGATGTAGATTCCGCCTATTTATTACCAGCACTGCACATGTTTGCGAGTCTTATTGTAGCTCCATTATTGCAACATGAAGCTATGGAGCGTGAGCTTAAAGCTATTGAGTCTGAATTTCAGCGGGTGCGAAACAGCAATGTCGTCCGTTTGCAGCAAGTAATGTGCTCGACGAGTATTCAAGAACACCCTTTTTCACACTGCTTTACGTGGGGCAATTTGGAAAGCCTTAAGCATAGTCCAGAACGCAATGGTGTCAATGTTCGTGAGCACATGTTGCATCTTCATAAAAGTCACTACGTGGCGCCATACATGAAAGTTTGTGTGTATGGAACCGACTCACTAGACGTGTTACAACAGTTTGTCACACAAATTTTCAGCAGCATTCCATGCCGTCGAGATGATTATGATAAGCCATCAACAGAAAAGCTGGGAGTAACATATGGAGGCTGGGCCGATCAAAAGCCGATGCTATTACGCGTTGTTCCAGTAGACGAAAAGTGCACCTTACAATTATATTGGATGCTTTCTCCAATGATGCAGAATTATCGACAAAAGCCTTGGCTTTACGTAGGCTGTTTATTAGAGCACGGAGGTCCAAGTTCGATATCATCGATTTTAAAGCGAAAACAGTGGGCTACTGATGTCATCGCTGGCACTTCTGATCAAGATGGTTATGAGTTTGGGTCTTTTGGAACGGTCTTTGAAATTAGAGTGTCTCTAACCGACCGTGGCCTGGCTTGCTGGGAACAGATTGCTCAAGTTATTTTTGATACGCTTCATTTATTTTCAGATATGGCAGCAAATGGTAAATTGCCTTCATGGTTGTTTGAAGAGCTTCGTCTGTCTCGCGAAATAGAGTTTCAATTTCAAGAAGATGACAAGGAACCCATAGTACTTTGTCGTGAGCTAAGCAAAAGAATGATCTCTCACCTCAACATTCAGCAATGTTGCAATGGGGATCTGCTGCGTTATGAATTAATACAAGGCGAATTCGACACGGGTTCTGTGTGCGACCTGCTTACTAGTCTTACAGCTAATAGTGTCCGCGTCGTCTTGATGGCTCCTTCTTTTGCGAAAACACTCGATGTGGAGGCACTTCAAACTGAAAGGTGGTTTGGAATCAAGCACACTATTGAATCTATTCGTGATGCTAGTATTGAAGCTTGGACTCGGAGCTCGATACAGTCAATAGAGCTGTTGCCACTACCAGCTCCAAATCCTTTTATGCCTCGGAGCTTTTACATATTGCCTGTTGATCCAAGTATTCACGCTAGTATCGACATTCCTCCAAAGTTAATTGTTTCAACTTCATCGACACAGCTCTGGTACAAAGGCAATCAAACATTTATGGTGCCTAAGGCATGTGTCAGCGTTCTCATAACGCCACCTGTATCAACGGCAACGAGTCAAATGTTTATTGAGCTACACTTAAAATTGGTAAAACACCGCTTGCAGCAGATTCTAGAACATGCCTACAATGCAACATTTGAGGTTGATTTAAGTGTCCGAGACGAAGCTATTGAAGCCGTATTTGCCGGATTTAGCGACACTTTGCCGGATCTTGTTCGTGCCGTGATGCAAGAAGTTTTGTGTCCATTTAAGGCTTTTGAGAATGCGTCAGAATTGACGCTTGTGCAAGGTGAACTTGAACGTGGTTACCGCAAGGATGTATTATCCCCAAAAGCAAAAGCTAGCGAAATACGTTTACATATGCTGGAGAAACGAGTCGTGACCACTGAAGACAAATTAAAGGCGCTTCAAGATAGAAATGGCCATGTAATGGACCTTGCAGCAGATCTTACACGTTTTCTTACGGAAAGTTTGTTGGGATGCATCGATGGCAAAGCGGCAATGCGGTGCCTCATTATCGGCAACATGAGTCGCGATGCTGCTATTGAACTCGTGGAAGATATTCAGACTCTTCTAACGAGGAGGTCGACTGCCGTGATACAAAGTGAGCCAGAACCGGAGCTTGGAACTGAATTTCCAATCGTATCACGGAGATACCATACGATCGCGCTACCATTAACAGCCAATGGACTTTTAATACGTCGCGAAAGCCGAAGCGCCGGGGAACGAAATTCTGTGGTTGAAGTATATTTCCAGATTGGCAAGGTTTGTATAGTAGACAGAGCGTACGCACTCTTATTGCGAACTCTATTGGCGCAACCACTTTATAGTGAAATGCGGACAAAACAACAATTAGGATATCTGGCGACCTGCATTTTTCGAGACACGCACGACGTGCTTGGGCTAAGTTTGATTGTGCAGTCCGCTTCTCATGCTGCTGGGGCCTTGGCATTAAGGCTTGATAAATTTTTACACAAGGACTTTCCGCGCAATTATCTAGAGTCAGAAAAACATCTCTCGCCGAAAAGCTTTGCAAGTTACGTACAGAGTCTCCAACGACTTTATGCACGATTTGATTTGACGCTTGCCGAGCAAAGTGAGCGATACTGGGAAGAAATTGCTACTGGGCGTTTGAAATTTGATTTGGATGCACAAGTTGCAAATGCTTTGGCAAATTGTACGCGTGAAGGTCTTCTCGCGAGGTATCAATGCTGGCTTCAAGGGAGTAGTAGCTGTTACGATACATGTCCAGTTTTCCTTCACGAAAAGTGCAAAACTCAGCACCACACAAATAGAAGCCATGGATCACGAAAACTTCGAGTGCATATTGTAGGCCAAAGCAGTCCCATTAAGCCATTTGAACAGCTTGTTTCTCCTGCAATGACCCCTTTGATCATAGCAAACGACATGTTTGAATTCAAACGCTCGCTAAAGTGCCATTGCCACAAAGATCCTTGACATTATGGACCAGTAATAGTTTTCATGCTATCAACCTTGATTTGATTTCGATAAGAACAGAAAAAAATCTAAATTTGTGAAGCTCAATGTAAGGAAACCGTTAATATTAGCCGAGTCTCTACACCTTTTAGCCACTCAATCCTCTTCTAAAATCGCACTCAGACCTGATCAAGATCTAGTAAAAGAATCCAATGATCTTGCCACCTGTGTGTTTGCGGCGGGCCTCGTGATGGTCCATGATGCCATATGTAGTGCTTACGACAATGTGACCAAACTGACGCGAAGGCAGCAAGTTGTTAATCCACTTCTCGTATTCGGCCAATTTGACGTCAAATCGAGGTGAGATAACACCGCACTTGTTAATTCGGCCCTTAAGCTCCACGACGATTTTACCAGCGCGATGGTCGTCCACAATTTCGAACTCGCCAATGTATCCATTCTTCTGCATCACCTGCAGGAACTTGACAATGACCTTAGAACTTGGGCGAATAAGCACCTGGCGTTTTCCACGCTTTTCGGCATTGTACATTGTCTTGAGGCAGTCAGCGAGCACGCTCATACGAACCATGTCTGTGATAAGGGCAAAACAAAAAGATGCAGCAAGCGTTAATGCCTACCGCTATGGCCAAGGTCAAGCGCCACCTGCAAGCCGTGATTGCTGCACAATCCATACTCAAGCCCCAGGAAGTAGGCGAGCAACAGAATTGAGGCAACGACGGCTGATACAGAAGAGCGTTGCCTCCAAAGTCACGCGACAGCTCGCCATGATGTGCAGAAAGAGAACTGTCGCGCGGCTTCTCAAACAATGGAAAAAAGTGCAATCAGGACGTACTTGCTAGTGGTGGTGGGGAAAAGTTTAGAGAGAGATTCGCGAATAACGCTGACGAAGTCCAATTGAATAACTGAGTCAACTAATCTGAGCCAGTCAATTTAAGCTTCATAAGGTTGTAGGAAGGTTGCGCCGAACGAGCAGGTAAGTTAATGTATTTTTTTTAATGTGTACATATTAATTCATTCATCATTAATTGAACTCGACATTTCTCGTGTTTTTAAAATCTTGTATTTCCAGCGATGCATTCGTAGTGTCTGTGGGTCCCAGATCAATAATGCGCAGACTGCGCAAAAATTCAGGGTACGAAACATATGTAAGCGTCTCCTCAATCTCTTCGCCCGCGTCTGACATGCGACGTACAGTCTTGCGGTGTGCAAAGGCATCAGCCAGCTGGTCAAGCTGGGAAATGGTCAGTGGTGCTCCATGCTCTTCGTTAATGGCCTGCATGGTAGCGATAAATTGCCCCTTTGTGACGTATCCGTGTCGCTTGCGATCCAGTATACGAAATAAAAATTTGATGTATAAGCGCTGCTCATGAAGCGATAGTTTGACACTGTCAACAAACGTATCCGCCCACGCCTGGTTTTTTAATGATTGCTGTTCTTGAATCACGTCATCATCTTCTAAAAAAGAATTGCGGATGTCTAACGAGGTCAAGTTCGTATTTGATGCCCCAGGACTTGAAAGCCACAAACGCCGCTGGAAGGTGCTGTCAGGCGAGAACGTGTCTTCAAACACAACCCAGTCTAAGCCTCTCGACTCCCATTGATGTCGCTGGTTAATACCGTAATAGCTTAATAAAATCGAGTTGAAAAGCAGCTGCGCTTCGTCACGATCAAGTTCAGGCACCATATTTAGCTCTTGGGTTCCCTTTAAAATGTCGCCCACAGTCAATTTACCAGTCTTACTGTGGTCAAACGCTTCAAATGCATCTCGCAGCGACTTAAACTTGTTAGGCCTTTGAAGCAGTGTAGCACATCGATTTAGCAGCGAAATCGCCTTCGTGTCGTCCAACTCAAAGATTTCTTGCAAGTAATCCGTCCGGCTGAACTCGGCAAAAAATGAGCAAAACTCGTGATAGTCAACCACACCGTCATGATTCTGGTCGAGATGTTGCATGAGCTCGAAGATTTGTTGCTCTGAAAGAATGTCGCCCAGCTGCAGCTTGTCTTGAATAGTATTTCGAAACACCTCATACGTGACCACGCTATGACTCATTGAGGGATCCTTTAACTTCTCACCAGTAATGCCAAGGGCGCCCAACGATCCGCCATCGTCAAGCTTCGAAAAAATCTGATTTTTCATGACTGCTCCAGGCAATTGAAAAAGATTGAATGCATAGTGCAGTTTATCCTGCAGCGTTATTCTTTCAGCTTCCATTTCCGAAGGATGGGGAAGCGCTCGAATGAGTCCAAGCCAAACTTGGCGGATCAGACTGCGTCTCCACTCCACGTTACCACCATCGAATTCAATAGTGTAACGATTAAGAAACTTTTGGTAGTCGACATCCCCATCCTCCTCAACCTCAGCAAGTTGACGAAAATACGAAAGAAAGTTTGCCTTAATTCCAAGTACATTTTGCAAAACTGCTTTCCAAATGAGTTTTGAAACACGCCCAGAACTAGTGTTATCAAGCTCACTGAAAGCAGACAGCAAAGAATTCTTCTTCTCGCAAATCATTTCAACAACAGACATAAGCGTTCTTCGCTCCAAACGCTGAGCCTTTTTTCGCCACTCATTTTTTCCAGCAACTTTTAGCTTTTGAAGTGGTTGAGAGCAAAATTGCACTACATGTGGCTTCACTTCGTTGTCTTCTCCGATTTCTAATTGAACATAGGCACCCTTGTTTGTCTGTGATCCGCAATAACTAGAGGCCGAAAACACTGTGAGCAGTAGACCGTCGTGAGCAATATCGAAGCCTTCTTCTCGGCACTCATGAGACCGAATAATTAGGCTAAGTCCATTTTGCGCGCAAAACGCTTTCGTGATATCAGGGCCGAATTCAACACCAGCGCCCCGATTAGATGACTTACACCCCTCATCGTCGCGCGGGTCGCTCCACAAGAGATGCGTAAAGACTTCGTCAGCTCGAGATGTGCCTTGCGTCGGAATCTCGCGTCTGTGATCAAGCTGCAGTAATTCATCTATCGTAACATTTTCATGACTGCTCAATCCACCGTGTACAATGAAGATACGCTTATTGAGCAACGCAAAAATTGGAAAAAGACAAAATACCGTCTCAAACATCTGGAATAATTTCATAGGGGAGTAGTTCATCGATGTTCCCAAACCATTCCATCCAGCAACCATATCATTGTCCGTGCCGTACTTCGTATAGACCTCATCTTCAAAACCGAAAGCCTCATTTATCATACGTTCTTCATGATTGCCCCGATTTAAAAAGACGTAGTCCGGATACAGCAATTTAAAGATGAGCAGTAACAAAACAACTTCAATTCCATGCGAACCACGATCCACAAAATCGCCATTGAAAAGATACCAAGTTTTGCTATTCGGTACACCAATCTTGTCCATAATTGTAAGCAAGTCTTCTAGTTGCCCATGCAGATCACCAACTACGACCATCTGTACGCCCATCGGAAGCTGGATCTCATTCATGGGTGACTCGTGTCTCTTAAGAAATAGCTTTTCCGATTCGTCCAAAATTTGCCGTACAAAGACGCGATGGAGCAGAATTCCATTGCGAAACTGATCAATTAGCTTTTTTACCGTCTCCAATCGCAAAGGGAACGACACATGTACACCACGATAATGCGAAAGCGACTCTTGCACGCGATCTTTCTCTGGAATGTCGGCATCCGAAAACTGCATCGTGTCTAATGACCCAAGCATCGGTACCATCGAGTGCAGCTCATTAATACTCGTCGATTTGTTAAGGATTCGAACCATCTGTACCGTGCGTTGTTCTTGAACAGTCTCTAGAAGATTCCAAGTATTAAAATTGAGATGTGTGCGAAATACCGTATATGATAAATGTTGGCGAATGGCATTCTTAATTCGATTGGCCGAAAGGACGGCGTCAGAGTACAGCTCCACATGCTCTAGTGCAAAGCGACTAAGCTGATAGTTTTTCTTCGCTAACTCCACATTGACAAACGCCCTGCCATCTGCTGAGTCATCTGCAGCATCAACTTGCACTACTTGACCAACCAGAATTCCATACACTAACACACGAGTGCCCATTTTCAGCGACGATCGCTGAATCTTTATCGGTGAGCAGTCCCGACAGATACGCACTTCATCATAGTAGCCCTGCATCGGCAATCTCGGGACAAACACAGAGCATTCGTCGCACATGCATGTTCCACATTTGCTAATAAACAATAGTTACTTTGTAATTACACATGCGTTAAATTCTTTGATATGTATTGCACTCGCCAACGTACCGACAGTGATGTGGACGACAGAAAAAGCCAAACTCTTTCTTGCAAACCATGCAACACTTTGAATTTTGTACCCAAATAGGCCGCAAAGCTAGTCGAAAGGCTCGCTCCCATTTGCCATAGACAGCATCCTTTCCGGCTCGAAGCTTCCAGCACATTAGCTGCCCCGTGGGGGAATATCCTGTAAGTTGCATTTCGAGTTTTTTACGGTTAAACACGAGCCCACGCTTAATCAGATCGGCATCGTACTCGTCTTCACTTTTAGCCAAATCTTTGGCATTGACTGATGCATTAAGCATCATGACACCACGCAAATTTTTTGACGTGAGTGTTAGATGTACGCGTTTAGGGCCACCAGGATCGCCTCCAGGTGCCATCGCGGGCATTGGTAGCTCATAGTAGCAAAAACGGCCGTTGCGGAAGAGCAAAAAGTAGCGGAAATGTGCATAATCACCCATTTTAATAAGTGCGCCCTCCATAAGTTTGTGGTCTTCGTAGTAATTGTTTACAGGATTCTCCTCACCTGATACCCAGTGACTTAACCACGCGCGCGATGTATATCCGTCGGAGTCCATCGATAGGCCAGTATCGTAAAAAGTGATCAAATACAGTGTACATCAACCACTGAATTTAGTTAGCAAAAGAAACTGTACTGCAATTTGAAAGGAGTTCATGAAGTACAAGGAAAGGTCTACACGACACATTGCACACTATAAAAGTATATGTCCAAATGTCTGATGCCTTCACGGCATTCCCCAGACCACCAAAGCAAAAGTCCGCGTACCGCTCAAAATCAACGATGACTGTCGCCAACGTCTCTCTCGGAGTTGGCAATGATACGAAGACAAGCCGAGCCAATGTCAGCATTGACAACCCTACACACAACTTATGTCTTTGATTGCAACGGCGTCACTGCAGAGTGGTCACGGTGCACTTTGCAAAGCGGATAATTTGACTATCCGAGTCCGCGTTAGCTGGTTCCGTGCGCTCCTACAACGAGCGAAAAAGAGAGTGTAACACAATCGGTTTGTCTGCTAGCTCAATAGTACATACACTTCGGGTTGATTCCATTTGGCCTAGTGATAAAAATGTAACGTTTTACTGTGTTTCATAATATACCATCTTTCTTCTCTGACGTGGGGCTAGCATCCCACGTGTACCTTGGACCTCCTTTTCGGAACCATCATCTTCATAGATACCGATTTTTCGGTGTCCACGAATATTACAATTGCACCAAATGCAACGCGAATCTCCTTCTATCATAACGTATTGTATTGAATACAGTTGTGCCGAATGTGTAAGATAAGTACACTTGCCCCGTTACAGGCTTTGCCCGGCCAACTATTTGCACAAACACCGTAAGAATTATGCCGATATGGCACGGCTTCTCATCAATTGTCTTTAAAAGGATGTGAAATTGTGCTGAGTGCGGCAGAAAAAGCGACCTTTAAGGCTTTGAAAAAAAAAATCGTGCGCGTCCCAATCGGGCTCTCTCTCTCATATTCACATCTTTCATTGCATGTTGTCTGTGCCGCTTCATCCTTTTCAAATTGGCTATACTTTCCCCAAGCAAACGTTGATTGGACGAACGCGTGTTTGATTCTCACCGGATTTAAACAACAGGAGAAACTACACCTTTACCACAATGCTATTTGCAGTGAGGTATACCCCCTTCAGGTTTGTTAGTCTTTCACGTGGCAAAAGTCGTTTGTGATATATACAGATCGTATGTCGTTGTGCACAGCGGCGCCGTCACCACATCTCTCGATGGATTGGTAAAATGGTTATCCTTATTTGCCGAGTATGATTTTAGGGAATGTATGAACCGGATCGACTAATTCGGTGGTGAATGTGCTTTTTGTTGTTGTCAGTGAAAAGAACAAATAGCAGTTGTGCCGATGGGCGAGTCTTGCCGATCGTACCACGTCGTATTTATCATCACCGTAAATAGCTCAAGACCAGCACGCACGTTGCGCTTGAGAGGAAAAATTGATAGGAATGCGGTCACGATGCAACAAAATTGAAAAGAGGTTATGGTTCCTAAAGCTACCTGAATTAAATCACTAGAGCTCCTGGAGGTTATACGTATAAAACCTGAACATGCAGAAGTTAAGCTTCGAAATCCTTGGGTAAACTGAGGTTCAACCCAGGGGAACGTTGAAGAATTGAAGCTGATAAATAAAAACCTTGGTTATATTGAAGATGAGCACAGGCAGCCTTGAATTTGAAGTCCTCGTGAGAACTTTCTCGCAAAGCGGGTGGCGCGAGCCGCTCGCTTCAGATGGTAAAGACACGTCGGTCTCATCATCAACATAGATAAAATATCATTTTCTACTGATTGGCACATAAAAGTCGCTGTATCATCCAATGATGTCACAGGTGCATGTGGGATTTGCCAAAATATATTCCTTTCTTATTCGTCTTCACAATACACGTCAAAAGTGATATGTACCACTGAGATTTTCCTTCATGTGATGGCTAAGAACGGCCTATTACACTATCAAGCCATCTGATCAGCCTTGGTATCTTCAAGGCCTCCTAGTCTGTTCACTGCTTATGACAGTCGCACGTGGTACGTAATTGAGCGAATCGTCTCATTCTAGCACACGGTCTCTCCGCTCAGAGACCGCCGGCCCGATACTCTTTTGCTCCGTTTGAAACATGGCCAGATTTATGGTCATCTCACCTCCCCTCGTAATGCAAACCAGGATATTCTGAAACAAATACCCGTTGCCAGAAGCAGGCAAACACATACGAATATGTCGTGGGAAAAAAGATTTTATCGAATGCAACTTACCTACCTAAACTTGAAATGATTTTGGTCTACAAGACGGAGTTGCTATGACAAATCTAAACTGGATCATCACGGTAATGGCAAAATAAGGACTGACTGAGTCATACGTGGACTTCCTAAAGCCTGGTCACGATACTGCTCTTACGAGTCAGTCACATCTGAAGCGCTCTGTTCTGGGGGTGGGTCCACACCTCCATCCTCTCATAGACGAGACACCCTCTACTTTAAAGCAGCGACGCGATTCTATGCCGTTAGAGGTGCCCAAATCCACGCAGTGCGATGACATAGCGCAAAGAGCGCGTCCAATTTCTCATTTAATCTTGGTCTGGACGTACGCCGAATCTCTCAGAGAGCGCCACAACCAAAAGAGTTCACGAGAGGCAGCCATAGGAGGGTTGGGAGGGTCGTCTCTTGTCGGCACTGCTCGATGTGCGAGAGGTAGCTTACTATCTGTGGAGGATTCAGCGGACTGGTAGTTATACCAGGGCTATCGCCATTTGTGAAGCGGAAGAAATACACTCAAGTCATAAATGTGTGAAATTCCACTTTGGCAAAACTGACCTGGCCGTTGCCACTTGTACTTGGCACACCCTCAATCTGTATTTTTTGATGAGAAGAACCAAGGTCTCGCGCTCCCCACTAGCGAGCGAGGACCGGCCTAGTTATGAGCCCAACAATCGATCGATAGCTGTAACGGCTATCTCATCAGGTCAAAATGTGCAGTTAGCTGCAGGTACTCGAAGTGATGATGTCATCTTGACACCTGCACTGTTTTCTTTAAGTCGTAATGTCAAGTATTCATCGACGCTCTAGGTGGACGTCCGCTTCAGTGATGCTGGCTTGCAATGCCTTGAGACGGGTGAGACAGCGCGTTTACCTTGTTGGAGGTGTAATTTGAGTAAGTTGCTCGTAGCGCTCGAGTGGGGCGTTCATATACGTACAAACAATCCGGTCACATTGAGAGCTAAAAACGAGCACCAAAAACTCTATTCTAATACCATTTGCACTCAGGAAGGCCTCATCTATAAGTGATGCACCTTGGTTACTAAAAGCTGTCAAAAGTGTCGATAAACACCTCAGTATCTGCGCGCTTCTTGCGACAGAGGCACCCGTCAATTTCAGAGAAGTTTGAGGGCCTCGACAGCGTGTAACCTTGCCTAGTCCTGGACCTGACATTCTCATTTTCGGTATGTGCGGCTAGATCTCCACGAGCACAGAACCAATGGGAAGTCAAGGATATTAAACCAGTTTTGCCGTAGAGATTTAAGCTACCGGAACCCACACGCTAAGATTAAGCTTTCTCTAGCGCGAGATGCTGATAGCTATCCGACCCATTTTAGGACCGGATCCCGTACCTCTCATGACACTATGGGGCTTTTCGGTCAGTGGGGCCTCCTTCCACCCAGCTATCACACACCCAATTGGGTGCGGGTTGGCAGGGCGGTCACCACACAGGGGTGTAACTGCTATCCACTTTAGTGACCTATTTCCGGTGCCCTCGATTCGGATCCTATGAGTATCGAACCAGGTACCTCCCGGTCCCAGACCAAGCTACAAACCACTTGAGCCAGGGATTGGTTACCAATTTTGCCATAGAGCAGAAGAGCTTTTGGTGCGCGGAATTACCATAGCTTCCGTGCAGGACATAACGTTGTCCGAAATGTCTGCCAGGAGCCTCAAGCAGAGCTCGGAAAGCAGATGCGGTAGTAACCTGCGGTCTCTCTATGAGATGGATCGAGCAAATGCATGGAAAGTGGAAATGACTGAACATCACAAACCCCTGTCAGAACGATCACAGTTGTAGGGCGACTGCAGGTCACAAGTAAAAGACTGAGAATTGAATAGTATTTAAAATCTTGTCCTGATGCAACGGTGCTGTACGGTCAGTGCTACCGTGTGATGTATCAAACATTTGGAAAGGTCACACCCTAAGCGTAAGCAGCGGAGCAATTAACCACTCGTTAATAGAGTAACAAGGGTAGTCCTAGCCATTGTAAGTCTCTCATCACTGCCTCTAAGAGAAAGTCTTATAAAAAAAATTTATTCTTGGGGTACGTGAAAATGATTGCAAGGCGCTCATTTTGCCGAAAATGTTGCGATCGGTGCCGAAGGAGGAGCTGAGCTCGTCTTCCATCAAACAATGAATATGTCATTAAAAAAATTGCAGAGCAGTCAGTTTGAAAATTGCGACAGCTATTCTTGAGAAGTCTACAAATCCTTTATATCATTTGTGAAGGAGATTCACGACATGGCGACGACAATCCCCACCAGGCGTATAATCATCAGATGTGGGAGAGCGCCACGAGATTGAATTGGTTCTTGGAACCAAATGTTGCGTCACACGACAATGACGCTTGCCAAAGGAACTTCGTGATATGATTGACACATTCTTTCGTGTGATGCACGAAGCAAATCAAGTGAGAGGATGAATCGCCTCTCTCGACTCTGATTTTAGGTGGCAAAAAGTCGAACAATAACTTTCAAATTGTGCAAGCATATAATGAGCTAAATGCAGCCAGGATGGTGGCGCAACCGCAGAATAGCAAAAGATTAAGCTCCAGAACAGCATGGTCGCCCGTACTTTGTTCTGTGCTCACGACCTGGATGATAATGATTATTATCTGCTTATGAAGGTCAGTGATACACCTATCACTAGGGTGAGAACTCCAAGTGGATGCTCTGAGGGTTGCAAATTATGCCGCACAGACTGTCCAATGCATCAGCGACGTTCAATCGTCAGGTGACACAGTTATTCAGACACACATACTCGTGATATCGTTTGCCCTTGATTTGTTCAAAGCACAACTAATTGGCTGCAAGGAGACCATGTCGCTTATGTAAAATGGAGCAAAACTGTAGGTGCATGTAATGCGTTATTTAACGCTCGGTCAATGAGTGAGCAACACTGCGGACTCATCGCGTTAGTGTTCGGTTGATTTTCACAAGTCGATCAACGCGTTGCGACCTTGTGGTTGCGGATGGTCAACAATCGCTACTCGCAACTTCATTATGGTTCCCCGCATCCAACATCCCCAGTTCTGCGCGACTGAGGACGAGTATGAAATAGGTTTATGCGTTGTTCTATAAAGCTTTGCTCACAGACAATTGAGCGTCGCTGGCGCACCAGACAGTTTT